CTACGGAGTCCGCCATGTTGAAACGGCATGTTTCTACAGTAGCCCAGAACGGACAAACAAACATTGGCTCTAGATAGGGCCTTTCGGGGTTTTCGCGAGTTTCGCGGCCACCCTAGTGTCTCTCACATGCTTGATTGAGTCAAGGGGTTACAGTTGGTTGCAATCTCTAAATAAATCCTACACACTGGTCTTTTAAGAGTACCCTAAAACCCAGTATTTCATTGCCTTGCCTCAAGTCTGTTTCACCTCTGAAGACACCCAGTATCACAGTATTAGGTCGTGCTGGAAAACGTAAAAAATATACACAGTAGACCTATGAACAAGAGAACAAAAAAAACACATAATACAGACAGACAATTCTATAAAAAAGTTCCCTAAACAGGAAATAATCTGCTCAAAATTTATCCAAATCACTTGTTGTACACAAACTTCTCGCAGTTGCTGAGTTCACTATTTGACTTAATTGTACAGTTTTGAATATAATATAAAATATCTACTAAATATGTCACTTAAGCAGGGGATGTCAGTTTACCTAATGATAGAAAAGGGGTCCCTTGAGGAAAAAGGTTGGGAACCAGTGAACTAGAGGCCAGTAGCTTACCTTCTGGCTGAAAGTTTGGAGTTTCAGGCTGAACTGTAATAAAAACTGTTCCATTGTTCTAATGTTAAACATCAGCAGATAAATACTGTATTGTGTGAAGAATACATAGTATCATTTGCATTGGCATGTACAATACTGTCAGCTTTACAGTTGAACAGGCAATATTATATGCAATATTTATGTTTTACTGGTTTTATCGATTTATTACTGTAAGTGTTTAATGTGTGAACACTGGCCTTTTAAAACTGTCTTTTAATACATGAATGATTGTAAGAAGGCCGCTAAGACCGGTGATGAATGAACTGTAACACAGTGAGGCTGAGCCCAAGAAAAGTTTCCCAAGGAGAACATTAAAGTATATCTCATCTTATCTTAATCTGACCTAGGTACAGTTATTTAGACTACTTTCGACCGGGAGTGTCTATTTTTCTTTCTGTGCTATCAGAACAATTCAATCTGACAAATCTATTGGCTAAACTTCCTTTTGTTTGTTTCACATATGGGCAACACTCCTGACAGCAGGGGCTAAAGTAATCACAAAGGGAAAGGTGTCATTTAGAATATATAATAATTTGAATAATTTGAATCAAATAACAACTCAGCACTTTAAGTTGGGACTGGACCAGAGTAAACATTGACTTAACACGTTTTCAGTGTTAGCTAAAGGTGTGCTCTGAGTTGTTAAGAGTCCATTCCGAGATGTAGACACAGAAATGTAACACAGTCAGACAACATAATATATCTGTAAGTACTATAGTTTGCTAATATTTCACAGTATTCGGGGAAAGAGAACTGCTTCCCCATAAATTGTGAGCTCCAGAGCAGGGTATAAATTGATATAAAAGTATAATTGCAAGCTCACATTTCAAACAGCATCCAGGATGTATCCTGTACAGAGAAGTTAGAGTTGTTGCATGGCTGAACCCAAACCAGCTGCACTGAATGATGTCTCTGTGCTTACTCAGCCTGTTTGGAGAATTTAATTGTGACCAGAGGACTTATTTACATTATAATGTCGGATTGGCCATGAATATGCATTATTACTGCACTCAGTGCATTTATTTAATGTTCCACGTTTGTGACTTTCCTCCAAGGCCTGGTCATTTGCGCTGTAATGAAGAGTCACCTGCTATTTCCAGCTGCAGAGGATAAAGATGCTTCACTAACTGGCTTGAGTTCCTTAATTTTTGTTGGCTTATAGCATGGTGCTTTGTGAGAAAAGCAGGAATACAGCCACTTAAACACACGTGGCTTTTGAATTCTAGCTTGTACTGATGTCCTTGAGGCAGAAGTGCAATCAGTAGCACAGGTGTCAAACTCCAAGTCAAACACAAGTGGCCCTTGACACCCATAAAGCAGAAACCTGAACTGAGCCATACAGTAATGATTTCATGTTGAGATCTGATAACTGGATACCTTTCTGTAAATGGAAATGACATATTTCATTTAATCTAGAACTCTATCAGTGAAAAGGTCTCAATGATGCAGCCTTGGGAAAGCAATATAAATATACTGATGCTTACTAACATGTTTGTCTTTCCTTCAATTTGTCACACATCTATGAGCATATAACCCAGACGTTATAAAGACTAATAAACATGGCTGGATTAACCGGCTTGGGGGCCTCAGGGTACAAATAAGGTGCTCTGGTCCCTATTATTATCTGGCTCTTTAGCTGCTAAGTACCCCACTCTTTATTCAGCCCGCCTCAGCTCCCACCATGCTCCACATCTTTGCCCTTGATTAGCTGCTGGGAGCTGGCAGAGTCAGGACTGCCAAGATGGTGACGGCCAGAGCCGACCACACTGAGCTTCAGAAACCTACGGGTGATGTCACAGAGATTCTACGTCCATGTTTTATACAGTCTATGCTTTAAACAAATTCATTTAAGAAAGCACAAATCTGAAATAATGAGGGTCTTAAAACTAGATTTTGCCACGGAGACCCAAGACAGGACTTCCGTTTTAAAGGGGAACATTACACATCAAAGTCTGATTGCGGACTAATGCAAATCTCGACAAAGGTTGAATAAAGCCTTTTGTGGCAAGAGTGGGAGCTGTGCATACCAGTTTAACACACTTGAATCTCGAGTTTAACAGCGGTCTAGTTGCATTGTGCATTGTGGGTAATGTAGGCGCCAGATTTTGACAAGAAAGAGGAATGTGTGGAACAAAAAAGAGGATATTTGTGGTTCTTCTGCAGCTTGTTCATTTTTTAGAACGGTCAACTGTGAGTCAGGCAGTGTTATATAGTGGAGTGTATCACTCAATGTTCACATGACCATGGTACATATTCCCGAATAAATGTTCAATCAAATTAGCACAAACCAGCTAGCACACATTAAACCTGGAGCATTTGGGAGCCTCGGTGCTCTGGGGCAGTTGCCCTTTGCCCCTTTGTTAATCCAGCCTTGGCACAAAACATTTTAGACAATTATGTTGTCCTACAGCAGAGCGCTTACAGTGTCTAGTTAGTAGTGACCTTGTATATTCTGTATATATGGTAATATCTCTGTATTGTCATAATATATCTAAACTGCAGCATTCTGGCCCTGCTTTTGTCTGATTAATCAAATCAACAACATCACCCCCTCATCAGAGATTAATTACATCAAACACAGCTTGCCTTTCAAAAATAATACCATGTTAATTTACCAGGCACAATGGGGGAACTGATATCGTATTATTGGTTCCCATGGGCGCATTCCCATTATTTTTGTTTACAACAGTGGGTGACTCAGGGCGCGCTGCCCTTTGTGCTAATAAATTCCATCATCTCTGTATGCAAAGGTGAGGGAGTTAAGGGCTGAGTGTTGTCAGCAGTGGACCTAAAGTGATGAAATCAAAAGGGACTGTGACGACACTGCGAGAAATAACAGCAGCTCCTCTGATGTACTGCTGGAGCTTTAAATATTTCAGTAAAAAAGGGAGGGAATCTACCTCAAAATGAAACATCTAATCCCAGTACGTGTTAATGCTCTGTGTCTCTCATACTGTCAAACTCCCTGACACGTACATGAATGCAGCTGCTGCGGAAACAATAAGGGGTTATGTCACCTTGTTGGCGTGTTTCCGCATGTTTATTCAGATTTAATACTTGTTGACAGAGAGGGATATATTTGCTGGAGCGACACAAGCGTTGTTTGGCTTTTACGCATTCCCCCTGAACACACAGCCTGCCTGACTGTATGCGCGTGTGTGTGTATGCCTTCCTCCCTCCTGCCTCCCTGCATCTGACAGTGTGTCCCTCCCTCTTTCTCTCCTCCTCCTCCTCCTTCTCTCATTAGGCTTTCCACCGGCAAAACACCGACACACTCCCTGTCCCTTAAACCGGGGAATAAACGCGGAGCGGCGGCAGGAGCAGGATTGACCTCCCCCGGTGCGCACCATCCATGGTTCTCCCCTGGATAACTGTCTGACAGGAGGGTATGTTGAAATATTCAGTTTTTCCCCCCACTGCCAGTACTCTCATGTCGTTAAGAAGCTCGGGCAAGGTTGTGTTAAACGATTTGTTGAATGCCAGTCTTTAACGTTTGCGAGATCTTTCCCGTGTCTTTGTCCTTTTTTACGCGTAATTCGCCAATGATTACGGCGCTTTCTCAGACATTCTTTGTGCTTTTAGCTGCTGCAGTGAAAAGGTTTTTTTTTTATTAAAGCTGCAGCTGTTAAAAAAAAACAACCATCATTTCATAACGCGCATGGACTTTGCCCGCTTGCTTGCCGTCCTCTACCGGGGGGGGATGAATATTATTGTGGGGATGGAGCAGAAGCAAGTTGTAGCGTCGTTTTGTGCCCACTGGCCCAGTCAGTGTTGACATCCAGCCTGCAGACCTGCAACCAGACCCCTCCAGGACGCCCCCCCCCCGCTGCTCTGGATAGCCACTTTACACATGATGTTCTCACCCACAGCAGGGCTCTGACTCTCATGTTTTCTCATTTTTCCGGTCCTTCAAAGTTGTGTTTGGCCTCAGAGATCAGCTGTTTGTGTCTCAGCCTGTCAGGGCAAACTGGATCTGCAGTTGGCTTAACTCAGTGTATTCTCCAACACACCCATTGCTAATTATGCACCAGCCACACTGACAGATGCACATACACATTGAGGTGTTGCCATTGTCACACCGTCTCTCATCAACACCTCTGGTTTTACCCTCACAAAGTGTGCCTTCAAAAACGAAACCTAAATGAAAAGCATAGATTTTGGCCCTTTAGTGTAATAATATGCCAGTGATGTGTAAATGCTGAATGATGTGGAGACATTTTGGCTACAGAGGTGAAGCAGCACTGGGCCTGAGTGTGCCTGCATGCTCAGGCAGGTCCGTGTATGGAAATGGGCTCACCTTTGGCACTCTGGCTTTCACCGGTTTTGTAGAATACATTACAGTATTTGGGAGGAATGTTTCAGCACTGTTTGGACTGGCTTCACTTTCAGGATGCTTTGCTTGGACTTTTATATTTCTAACTTGAATGTCTCTATGTCTGTGTCACATTTACAGTTAGATGATCTTTGAGCCTATTGCAATAAACGAGCTTTGCAAAATGACATTCTAGGAAAGTGTCTCCCTAAAAGCTCTTTTGTTTATGTCTTAAGACGTCTCAATACATCATATTTCTTGTAATGGCTTGTCCTGTCCTTGAATTTGTGTATGTCAGACCAAGTTCCTCAGCAGTGTTGTGGCCTGCTCCCTGTTGCTGTACAGGTGGGCTTATGATACTTCGTCACACTCTTCCTCCAGGCCGTGCACACTGTCAGCCTCAGCTAGCAGACCCGCTGTCACACAGCATCCATGTCGTTAACATCGGACACACTCCTGTGCCTGCTGTGTCAGCCTGCCAGACAGCCTCCCTCTGAGTCACCTGATGCTTCGCCCCC